TTCTTCATCCTGCTTTTTGTCCACATCCATGCGCTTTACAAGTTGCTGTTGCTGTTTACGGGACTTCCGATTGAGGAAATCAAATGAGGAAGGAATCTCCTTTTCCACGTCCATGTAAACACCTCGCGCTCCTGTGAACATTTCGAGGCGCAATACAACAGGAAATTTTTCTCGAATGACACGCTGCACTTTTCCGTATTTTGCTAGCACCAACGTTAGGTCACAATCTGGTACTTCTGGTGGCAAATCGTACACTCACACGTATTGCACGTTGCCCCCGACAAGTGACATTCGAACTTCCACTGACTTTCCATTCGCATATTGGAAAGTTAGTTGCAGCGGGTTAAGCATCGCGGCTTAATGCATACTAGCTTCAGATTAAAATTTTAAGAAAATTGCCTTCTCCTCTGCAATTTGATATGTGGAGTGCGTATATGTCACCATGATTCGCGTCCAATGATTGACCAATTAACAAAGCGCACGAGAACAATGCCGTGATCGAGTAAACAACCGTCGATAGCGTGATCGAAACCGAGAGAAACAAGTGCTGCTGTGTCCACAGCCGAAAACAAACTGAGCTTTACACCTTAGGAATTGTACACCGAAATTTACGTCACATAATTTGACAGCTCCCGTGATAAGTAGCATATTGTGGAATGCATTAAATATCATTAATAGAGTTCTCCAGATGCACAAAAGTGTGCGTGAGACCGCGCGCTACCTTTTTAAGTAGTGGTTATATCGCGATACCATTTTTGTTCTTCTTCTTCTTCATTTTTATATATAGATGTTGAATTTTAGTGTTCGTGAGATTGCGCTTGGAGATCTCTATTAAGAGTGGGCGTGACCAAAACCTCAATCCACCTCAGGGGACTCATAGCCTAGTTAGTAAAGGCACGGTATTACCATAGAAGTAATTCTAAGACCAGCAGGTCCCAAAAAACGTGCTCAACTTTTTGGCTCAGCTCTGGCACTCTCTTCGGTCCAAAGCTAATCGATGCACCCGTCGAAACATAGGAAAATCCACGAGCCCCTTTACCATTTCATTTCCAAGCGTTAAAAGACGAGTGGTCAACATTAGGATTGGACGATCTTTGGAAGATCGATCTTTTTCATCCCGACTTCCGATTTTACGGATCGATTCTTTACCCACGAAGAGATCGAAAAAAATTGGTGTTAAATATTTTTAAGTGTATTTACATCGCAAAAACGATTTACTCTCACCACATACTGCGTAGTAAATTTAACGAACGTCATCATCGTTCCCTACAATTACGTCACTATTTGCGTTTCCGATATTTACGAATACAGCAGCATCTGAAGGTTTGTTCTACCTCCCTCCTTTGCTCATTGCTCCTTACCTTCACGACAACATTTAATTGAATATTATAAAGCTATTTCTTGGGGTTCCAACGTAAACAAGCGTAAGAACATAAAAATCAAAAGATCGATCCTTTGGTATCGATTTAATCAGTGGATCTATCCTAGAGCCAAATATAAGATCGATCCGTATAGATCGATCTTTCTCTGAAGATCGCCCAATCCTAGTCAACATGGGTCCCGAGGGGGGCGACTCTATCTACGATGCAGGAAAGATTGTGTTTTGTGTGGCTAGCTGCGTGCACACTAAGTAGATAGAAAGAAGATTGACGACGATTTTGAAGATTCCCTGCATAAAGATGATGCGCGATGCAAGTAGATGCGACAAATGAAAGAAGATTTTTCGAAGATTGATTCGCTAGTGGGAGATTTGTTGAGCATCTAGATTTGAGATTTAGATGTGTCGCCCCCCTCGGGGATGGGTCCCGTAATCTCAACGACCATGGTTTGGTTCCAGTCTGCTCCGTTTTATAATTTTGTTGTTAACATTATTTTTCATAAGGCAAATTGATTAAATTCATACCGATTTCTTGTGGCTAAAATTCATAAGTGGTTCTTATGGAATCTTACGTTCTTTTGCATCAGTGTATACTTTGGTTCAATAAGGTTTTCGTGGACCATCAGACCATGTTTGTTTTATTTATTCACTTGTTTACAGAGCATGAAGCTATTTTTTAAATTGTAGAGTGTTGTTCCAAATTTGTTATTTGTCTGAGTAAACATTTTTTTTCTCCTATAGCGCGGATTTGGAATACGCTAAGATTTCTCATTACGGGCGTTTGGCATAATGGACATTTGGCATAGCATATTTTTATGCATGAGGTTTGGATAATATTATGGCAGTAGATTTTTTCTGCACTACCCACGGATGAGCAGCTTGGCGCAGCTTCTATTGAAGATGGCTGGAGGGACATCAGTTCCGCCATATGTAGTACTGCTGCAGCGGCACTAGGTACAGCGATCCCGGATCGAAGAAATGACTGGTTTGACGGCGAATGCAAACTGTTAGTAGAGGAGAAGAATGCAGCACGGACGAGAATGTTGCAACACCGCACGAGATTGAATATTTAGCGATACAGACAAGCGCGGAACAGACAAAATTCGGTTTTCTGAAGTAAGAAGCGTCAGCCGGAAGACCGAGATCACGAGGCGATGGACTAAATGGACTACGAGAAGCTAAATAGTTCGCGCAAAGGCTACGTGTCGCAAGCCGATATTTGCAGGGACTTGGACGGTAACCTTCGAACGAGTGTGAGGTGATTGAGAGATGGAAGCAGTACTATGACGAACACCTCAACGGTGATGCAGCAGAAAACGAAGGTGACACGGCAACAGACCTTGGAGCAAGCGCAGAAGACGACAGGCTACCGGCCCCTGATTTTCAAGAAGTTAAGGAGGAGATCGGTTGACTGAAGAACAACAAAAAGCAACTGGTGTAGATCCAAGTGAGTTATTGAAATACGGTGGTGAAGCACTGGCTAGAGCGCTGCACTGGATAATTGCCAAGATTTTGGAGGACGAGATATTACCGAAGGAGTGGATGGAAGATATCGTATGCCCTATCTACAAAATGAGCGACAAGTTGGATTGCTGCAACTACCGCGCGATCACACTGCTGAGCGCCGCCTACAAGTTACGCTTCCAAATTCGATGCCCCCGCCTGTCACCATTTGCAAGAGAGTTCGTGGGGGCAATACCAGGCGGAATGCATCGGTGCCCGCGCTACCACGGACCAAATATTCGCGATTCGGCAGGTTCTGCAGAAATGTCGCGAATATAACGTGCCCACAAATCATTTGTTCATCGATTTCAAATCCGCATACGACACAATCGATCGGGATCAGCTATGGCAGAACTTTGAGACGATGGCGGAAACGTACATCAGACTGGACTTGCCATCAACGCATCAAAGACAAAATACATGAAAGGAAGGGGTTCTAGGGAAGACAATGTTAGCCTCCCACCCCGAGTTCAGATTGACGGTGACGAAATCGAGGTGGTCGATGAGTTCGTGTATTTGGGCTCACTGGTGACCGCCGAAAATGATACCAGCAGAGAAATTCAAAGACGCATTACGGCAGGGAATCGTGCCTACTTTGGACTCCGGAAGGACGCTCCGGTCGAATAGAATTCGCCGCCGCACGAAGTTGACTGTCTACAAGACGCTGATTAGACCAGTGGTCCTCTACGGCCACGAGACCTGGACTTGGTGTTTTCGACCGGAAGGTGATGCGTATCATCTACGGTGGAGTGCAGATGGATGACGGAACGTGGAGGAGGCGAATAAACCACGATCATCCATCGTCCACATTGCAAAAATTGGGCGACTACGGTGTGCTGGGCACGTCGTAAGAATGCCGCACGACGACCCAGTGAAAATGGTTCTAGAAATCGACCCAACAGGAACAAGAAGAAGAGGCGCGCAGAGGGCAAGGTGGATCGACCAAGTAGAAGGCGACCTGCGGATCATTCGCAGACTACGAGGCTGGCGAAGTGTGGCCATGGATCGAGTAGAGTGGAGACGACTTCTTCGGACAGCAGAGGACAACAAGGCTGTAGCCTGATTGGTAAGGTAAAAAATATTTTTTTTCTTCTTTCAACCATGAGCAGTCTTTCCAAGCCCTAAAATACCATGGAAGAACAGTTTGGATTTGGTTTCAAAAATATGTCGAATCATATCGATTATGCTATATGTCCGTTATGCCAAACGTACCGGCAGGAGAACTTTTGTATTGCCAAATTCCAATTCTGGAGCATTGTGCACCGGTGGGGTGGAACTTACAAATTGCAAATCGGAATTTCTGTAACAACCTTGCATGTTGGCTTTGTATGTTAATATAAATATTTATTTGTTTTTAATTCTCGTCCAAAATTGAGTGGTTTTTCACTCAAAATCGCAAACGCACAGGTCTGAGTAAAAATTTTTGCGCACTTCCTTAAAATCTGCTCGAATGGAAAATCGCCGAAACTTTTTCTCAGTCTAGGAGTATATTAATATAGACTGAGTAAGCTTCTCTCGATTTTCCTCATAAGCGAAATTTTTTTCCAGGACAATAATAGAGTGACCTGGGTTTTTGCGAATTTGAGTGAACAGAGATCAGTCAGATCAGATCAGATCAGATTTAGCGGCCGTGTAGGTTAATCGTTTGAATGCTTGAATTGGTCCACACAATTAACAAACTTTTTTTTTTAATTGTCCCCAAAACAAACTGCCAGCACTGGCCCCCCGTCCGTCCGTCGATGTGCTCCTCCGACAGTTCGGTAACACTGAGAAAATGTATGTATTCGATTGATTAGGAACGCCATACGATCTGAATGCGAGAGAATGGGAGGAAAAGGAAAGACGATAGCAGTGAATATTATACGTATAGATAGATGGGGGGTGGGTGGACGATTGCGGCTTCGGGTAGGGCGGCGAGTGGGGTTGCGGGACGTTGCCCATTCCATTCTCGTAATAAATACTTGAAAATGATTGAAAATGGGGAGTGGGGTCGGAGCATACGCAAAAATGGCTCACTACAGAAAATTTAATTGGCTCTTAAAAGTTTTATGCAAAATTCGATTTTTCTGAGCTTGGATGTCTGGATTTTAACAAAAATATTTTCTTCTTTTCATTGCAGCTAAGCTTTCGCGACGATCACAATGCGCAAATTTGCACCAGTTGTATCGTCAGTATTGAAAACTTCTTCAAGTACAAAATTAAATGTATGGAAAATGATAAATTACTGCGAAAAAAACGAACGAACTTTTTCTCGGGACTCGGGCTCACAGCAGATCCAGAAACCATACGTTCCAGTGGCGTACAAGATGACGAAGAGAAACGGTTGGACAAGGAACTAGAGAAGGAAGAAATTGAGCTGAAGCCAAATGATGATTCTGAAAATTGTCAGGTAAAGCAGGAGATGATCGAAGATGACGATGACGAAGAATATTTCAATCCGGACCAGTTCCTTGCGCAGGAAACGCAAATTGGTGATAAGCAAATTGACCAATCCATGCTGAATGGCAACGACGATAATAGTTTTGGACCTGGCAATGCAAGCTTCGAGCGAGGCTGGAAGACAACAGAGTTTGCTCCGCAACCCGGTAGTTCCGGGTTGAAGCCCCTCAAGATAACTGACTATTCCAACATGACCGGCAAACGCGGACGGCCTCAGAAATTCATCACCACTGTTCCTACAGAGCGACTTCTCGCCCGCCCTAATTCTTATCCTAATTCATTCCACACATCGTCGCCGCTGCCACAGCCGCCACCAGCACCAGCCCCAGCCCCAGCGCAACGAGGATTCGAAAGTGCTTACCGTCAGCATATTGGCATTAGCAACGGTGGACGGATTTCCATGCACCAATCGAATCCGATGGGTGGCCGGTTTGACACTTTCTCACTGAGTACTATGGAGCAAACCAGGAAGGTACAGAAGTTTCTCGATGACGGTTTGCGAGATCTCATCGTACACTCCGGAGCACCGAACCCTACTGGTGCCATGGTGAGTATGCTCACTGCTTAGATTTATGCAAGATAATTTCCATAATCCAAACTCTATTTCACAGGATGGTGGTTCAACCAGTTTTAAAGTGGTCAAGGCACGTTGTAATTCGTACAACCTAATCTTCGAGGCTAATCGTTTCCTGCGACGGAACAAATCGTGCAGTGGGTTGCCCAAATGGTATTGGGCATGCAGTGTCAACGGCTGTCCAGTTAAGATCTGCAGTTACAAGGGCCGTTTGTTTAAAACCAACGATAAGATCAATCATATTCATCCTCCCACGGAAACGGACGACTCACAGCACGATGTGGTGCTACCGGACCAGGCAGATGAATTCTCGGTACAACGGCAGTCACCATTACCAATGATGCAACCTCGTCCACCGCCACTGCTTCCACGTCCACAGCTACCATCAATTTCTGCAGTAGTATCAGCAGCAATGGAAAATTCATCTCGAGCTCCTAAAAGCGAAAAAGCGCGTGAAGACTCCGAGTCCTACAAAGTTATAAAAGAGGAAGACAAAACCGAAGCCCTTATCTACAAAGAACACAAACATAAACTAGTGAGCAGCAAAGCTGATGGTGTTAGAATATGGAAATGCATTACTACTAAAGAGAATGGCGATGTATGCGGCGATACGGTCCATCTTTTGCCTAATGGCAGACTTAAGCTGGAGAAGTCGATCAAAAATGAACAATTGAGTGACGATGAAGATAACGAAACCGTGAAAGAAGAGGACGGTGACGATGGATCCGACGGAGGCAAACGAAAGAGTCGAGCACCGAAGGTTGCAGTGTATGAGGGTTATCACTACAAATACTGTCACGCTAGACCAGAGGGTACACTTTACTGGCGTTGTGTGATGAAACAGGATAACAACTGCTTGGCCTCGTTGCATACCAAGGCTACGTTCGAGTTTCTCAACTTAAACGATCAAACACATAACCACGATCCATCGGATCCATCCGTGAAGTTGGAAAATGCGATTGTTTGTAATGTCAAACCAGCTCCACCGAAGCCTCCAAGTTTACCGACTACCGGATCAACCGACTTTCAGTTGGTCAAAAGCGGTCAAAAGCGAGAATTTCTTATCTATCAAGGCTATCGCTACTACTTCCAGTATGAGTCTAAAAATGGCAAACGTTCGTATCGATGTACAATGTTTCGCAACTGTCCGGCAGGTGCATTCCTAATGCCGGACAATACAATTGCAGAGGCTAAAAACTTTGTCCATACGCATCCTCCTACGGAAAATTTGGAGAAGTATGTGACGAAAGATAGTTTAATTACAAGTCCGATCAAGGACGTCGATGGACAACCGGGACGACAACAGCGAACGGCGGTCGAAACTGGCCAATTTCCATTGTTGAATGAACCCGTTCCTAGTGCCAGCAGCAGAGAAGAAGTTGCACGGGCTAATGGCTACAAAATAATCAAAAACTACAAAGGCAAAGATATTCTCATCTACAATGGCTGGCGGTACTTTGTGGATTACAAGAAGAAAAACGGTGGCCAGGTTTGGCGCTGTTCATCCCACAGATTGTGTCGGGGAGCTGTTCACCTTTTCCCCGATGGGTCGATAAATTACGCCAAACTGGTGGATCATAACCATATGCCTCCGAAGCGAAACCTAACCACCCCTAACATATCGACCGAAATATCTGCAAACAGCAGCTATACCAGCGGAGTGCTGCCGGAGTTTGCATCCAATGCATATTCTCCTCCCTATCATCGGTACATAACGCATGACAGGCACCGGTTCCGATTTGCGACACGCAAACGTGAGGGTACAATCTACTGGCGGTGCGCCATGAGGCTAGAGACCAAATGTCCGGTTTCCTTCCACACAAAAGAGGACACCTACGAACTGGTCAGTATGCGCAACCACGAACACAACCACCCGGTGCCGGATGTTTGGCCCGAGGTGGCAGGTGGACAGATAGACGAAGCGCTCCCCGTGGTGAAGATGCCGCAGGAGGAAATCGGCACGTCGGATTTCATTCTGACTAAAAACTCCAAGGGACGGGATGTGGTCCTCTACCAGAATGGGCGTTACTATCTGGATTACTCCCGGAAGGATGGAAAGATCGTCTTCCGGTGTTCGTCCGTTGCAGGTGAGTTTATTATTATTTATAAATTCATTAGAATTTCCAAATAAAGTTAAAGCTGATGCAAAGTTGTTGACTGCCACTCTTCGCATGTCGGTCCCATAGCCGTTTTTGACAAAACTGAGTTTTCCAATGCAAATGGTAGCTAATATCCCATGTTTTCAAAAAACTGAATGAACTCAACAACTTTGTTCTGAAAAAGTTTGGAAAGACAGTCAAATTGGTTGTCCTATCACATATAAAGCAATGGTACGAATCAAACTTAAAACGCGATTTTCTCGGCTTGTTGATTTTCGCTATGGGACGGACATGCGAATAGCGGCAGTTGACCCATTCGTTAAAACAGCAAGCTGAGATGAACACTTGAACTTTTTTTTATATGGGCTCTAGGAAAGTGGTACAAATTACAAAATTCTTTGCAGAAGTCGTTATTTCTAAATTGCTACTTAATGACCTGAAAACCTGATTTTTGGCTGAACTGAAAAAAAGGTTCTAAATCGCAACCAATTTTTCAAGTAGGTACCAGAATTGGGTTAAGATAGTTTTTTGAAGCCGCAGATTTTTTTTTTATTTCACTGGGTGCATAATATTAAAAAAAAAGGATTGGTCATTAGTCCGAATTTTGGATAGTAAGAAGCTTTACCCATATCAGGGTGGCCAGCGAACCGGGAATACCGGGAAATTGAAAAGTAACCGGGAAAACCCGGGAATTCGTTGAGAGAACCGGGAATAATAAATTTACCATACCATACACGCAGAAAAATGGATTTTTGTTTCAGGGCCTAATGTATTTTATTATTGATTCAAACATATTGTATCACTAAATCAACAAAACAAGTTTTTGAATCAACAAAATGGTTTTTAGAATCAACAAACAGATTATTGACTCTACAACCGGTTTGTTGATTCAAAAATATTTTTCTTTGAATTAACCGAATAATATATTTGAAACAATAGGGTTAACTACCTCATTTTCGGCCTATTAAGCACAACCCGCACTTAGTCTTTCTTAATCTAGCGCAGTTTAGCACCAAACAAAATGTTATTATTACTGATGGCTTCCAAATTTATTTACCTTTCTGTACGTACCATAAGATTTGATAAAGAGGAACCAATCGTTGAGATATTGTCAAAAGTCTAACACTGCTTCTTGACGCCAAACTCGGCCTACGGATTCCAAACTCGGCCTAACGCATTGAAACGTCATTGAAATGCAAATGAATTCACTTCGGCCTATCGGATGAAGATAAAAATTGATTCGGTCGGAGCGCTTTTTTTTGTTTTTGGGAATAATGGGCGCAAACCTTCATATCACCCGTTCTCATTGACTTCGTTCCGTAGCTTATTAGCTTAAGTATCGTACCAAACGCATAATTGACTTGAAAACTTTGAAATCATGGATATATTTGAAGTTTTCTGCACGATAGGCCCAAAATGGGCGATTAGGCCGAAGTAGTTCTCTACCCTATCTAAAATATATTAGGCCCTGAGTCAAAAATATATCCATTTGAACTTAAAAACCATTTCTCTGCGTGTAGGAATGTTTACACCAGAATTTCAGAATAAACCTTTAAAACAGAGTGATTCTTTACCAAATGAATGTCTTGCTCTATTTGCTGCATAACTTTCTTCAGTTTCACGTCTTATTGTTTTTAAAATTTGATCACTCAGCTATATTTCAAATTGATTTTTGTCGTTTCAATTTCAGATTGTAAAGTGCATGGGCCTTAAAGAAAATATTGAAGATGCTCGACGTTGCAAACAAATATTTGTAAAAACCGAATCTGAACTATTCTTTTCCAGGGTTTTAATTTTTCGTTTCGTTTTTTTAATTCGAAATCAAAATAACCATGTAATTTTATTCGAAATTCTCATGATATGAACTCAATAATTAACTTGGAATTCTGCTCTGAATTATTATGGAATTCATCTGAAACTAACCAAAAAATACTTCGCATAATAATTACCGTTGAATTCTTTTTTGAACTTCCTTGAAACCTCTTCTTAGAATTTTATGGGAATCCTTCTCATAATTCGAAGATTTTGATTCATTTGAACTATTTTCAAAATTTTCTTTTAACTCTATTCAAAACAGCAGAAATCTTTAAAAAAAATAGGTACCCCTTGTAGTACTTTAATGAATTTCTTTCTAATTATCAGCAATTTTTTTCTGCTGTAAATTTTGTTGGAGCTCTGTGATGAATCTTTCGGATTGAAATTATCCCCAGAACACTCGTAGAACTCTGTTTCTTGTTGAATTCTCAACATAAATATTTTTCCTTTTGAATTCTTCTTAAGTTACCTAAGAATTTAATTTAGAACTTGCATTCTTTTCCACAGAAATTCCTCCAAATTCATCCATGTCAGAATAATTCTGGAATTCTGCTCAGAACTTCTCCTTCTGAAATCATGTTAAAGTCCTTCTCAATATTTGTTTGAAATCAACACTAAAAATTCCAGGGTTTGTCCGCAAGATTCTATAGATTGTTCTGTAATTTGTTATAATCCTTAAAATGCTTCCAAGTCTTATACCCTCCCCTTGGCTAGTTTTTGCACCTTGCTGTTGGTGGGCGGGCTTAATTTCATGCTTTATAGTGGAGTGTTGGAGACGGTAGGTTTATGGTCGGCGTTGCTGGCTTATGCCGCGATAGAATGGCGTCATGGGCAGGCAATGGGGATTACTAAGCTTCCCCTCTCTGATAAACCACTGCATGAGAGAACCAAAGATCTGGTCCAGCAGTGATAGTATCACACTTGTTACTCCTTTAATTGAGAGCCGCGGCGTAGTACGCTTACGTATAGGCACTGACGTTGGGTGCGATACTGGCGGGTTTTGCCGCAAATCACTCTTATTTTTATTTATTTTTACGCAGATAGATTTATTTGGGCAAGGGAATTATACTATTGAAATATTTCAGAAAGTGCCCAACGGTGCTCCTTCTATTTGCGTGACAAGCTTTCATTGAAGTATTACTCAGGAAACAATGTTAAACATCATTTTTGTACATGGTATTGTAACTAATCTTATATGTGCTTCATTTTGATTTGGGATAAGTGTTTGAACTATGGTTCGAAATTTCCACTGTGGCGTGCTTCTATTGTGACATACCCATACGTATTTTTGTGGTGCGACATAGTGGAAGCGTGTGAGCATAGTTGGAGCATATACCCTATATAATTTAAAAAATCAGCTAGGAAACTAACTTCAAAATGAAGCATTTTAGTCACATGAAGGTGTTACCTGGGTCGAACTAAGATATAATAAATAGGTATAGGCTTAGGTTAAGAAGGACGCAAATTACTTGATTTATAGAAATGATCGTCTTGATGGACCCTGTGGTGGCGTTGCCATCATTATTCATAGACGAATCAAACATAAAATTCTTTCTTCATTTGAAACCAAAGATTTTGAAACTTTGGGAGTTTCTGTTGAAACAAAATTTGGACAACTTACGTTTATAGCTGCCTATTTGCTATTCCAATGCGTAGGCCAGCAAAAGAATTTTCTCAAGGGTGACCTCCAGAAACTTACCCGTCATAGGTCTAAATTCTTCATTATTGGTGATTTTAATGCAAAACACCGCTCATGGAATAATGCTCAAAGCAATTCCAATGGTAATATTCTGTTTGATGATTGTTCTGCAGGTTATTACACTATTCAATATCCAAACAGCCCAACATGCTTTTCTTCTGCAAGAAATCCCTCCACTATTGATTTGGTCTTAACTGATTCATGTCAACTTTGTAGCCAATTGGCTACCCATGCTGACTTCGGTTCTGATCACCTTCCAGTAACTTTTGAAATATCCCAAGAAATAATTTGTAATCCCAACAGCTCTACTTTCAATTCCCATAGAGCTGATTGGGAGCAGTATCGAACATTTATGGAATATAACTTCGATCCAAAATTCCTTTGCAAACCAAAGATGAAATTAATTATGCTCTTGAATCTCTGACTACTTCTATAGTTGAAGCAAGAGCTGCCTCAGTACCAAAATGCGAGGTTAAATTCGATTCAATTATAATAGACGATGATCTTCAGCTCTTGATCCGTCTTAAAAATGTCCGTAGGAGACAATATCAAAGAACACGCGATCCTGCCATGAAAGTTATCTGGCGGGATTTGCAAAAACAAATTAAAAAGCGATTCTCTGCCCTGAGGAACAAAACTTTTGAAAATAATGTTTCTAAATTAGACCCGAGTTCCAAACCCTTTTGGAAACTCACAAAAATTTTGAAAAAACCTCAAAAGCCTATTCCAGCGCTTAAAGAAGGTGGTAAAATTTTGATCACAAATTTGGAAAAAGCTCAGAAACTTGCTAAGCAATTCGAGAGTTCTCATAATTTCAGTTTGGGTCTTACTAGTCCTATTGAGAATCAGGTTGCTCGGGATTTTCTGAATATTTTCTCTCGGGAAAATATTTTTGATGATTCCTGGGGGACTGATTTGGACGAAGTAAGGTCTATAACCAAAAAATTTCAAAATATGAAAACTCCAGGTGATGATGGAATTTTCTATATCCTCATCAAAAAACTCCCTGAGAGTACCTTGTCTTTCTTGGTAAAATTATTTAACAGATGTTTCCATTTGGCATACTTTCCTGAGAAATGGAAAAATGCAAAAGTTGTTCCAATTTTGAAGCCGGATAAAAATCCAGCTGAAGCTTCTAGCTACCGTCCAATAAGTTTGCTTTCTTCAATAAGTAAACTTTTTGAAAAGATAATTTTGAATAGAATGATGCTTCACATCAATACGAACTCAATTTTTGCAGATGAGCAGTTTGGATTTCGCCATGGGCATTCAACTACTCATCAACTCTTAAGAGTTAACAATTTAATTCGTTCAAACAAATCTGAAGGCCACTCAACTGGAGTTGCTCTTCTAGACATAGAAAAAGCATTCGACAGTGTTTGGCATGAAGGTTTGATTGCTAAATTGAAAAAGTTGAATTTTCCACTTTATATTATGAAATTAGTTCAAAATTATTTAACTGACAGAACTCTGC